ACTTTGCTTTAAAAAATACAGGGATGATGTGCCAGCCCACATTAAATGGCAAAGATAAATATGAGGTTAACATACGCCACTGTCGAAAAGTTTTTCAGTTGTTTTTTAACAATCACCAAGGCTGCAAATGTTTGATCAAATACAGTAAAAACCATAATATTGTGAAATATTATCATTTCATTTATTCCTGTAATTCCTGTGATGTGACTCCAGTCTTCAGTGTCACATGATCCTCTAGAAATATGCTGATTTGATGATCAGTTGTGCAGCTTGCTAAAGAGTGGAAAACACAACAAAGTATTTTTTCTACAGGATTCATTGATGAACAAAAATAATAGCATTTATTTGAAATAGAACTCTTTTGTAACAGTATATATATATTACTGTCTTTTTTTATCAGTGTAACAAATCTGAACACTATTGTTCAAAAGGTTGGACTCAGTAAGATTTGTATCATTGTTTCAGTAGCTGATATCACAGCCATATGTTTTCTGTCTCTTAACAGGGTCCTCAAGGGCCTTTGGGAGTATTAGGTCCATTGGGTGAGATTGGAGCAGTGGTAAGATTCTTGACATAATCTTCAGATATGTGTTGATATTTCATATTGTACTTCCAGCATTTTTAGATCAGTTCTCTATTTTTCCAGCTGTGTTACTTCTTATTGTACCCCTCTGTCCTACTCTTCTCACTGCTTTTTTGCTAAACAATTCTATTTATGCCCTAATTTAGCCAATGCTAGATTAGTTGTGGTTCCTGTATACAATTACAATGTCCTCAGGTGGCACTAGAAAACACTTAGCTTGGCTTTGTTAATTAAAATACTTTTAACGAATGAAACCGAAATAAAAAACAGATTTTGTCCCACATCGTCTCTTTGTTTCTAATTACCTATCTATTATTCCCACATGTTTTCTTAGCTGTGAGGGACCAAAGACTGTAGTAAGATACAGAAAGTTAAACAGTCCATGTTCATTAGTTTCCTGGTTTGTGTGACAGGGTTTACCTGGGAAGGTTGGGGAGCGAGGCTTACCAGGTGAACCAGGAGAGAAGGTGAAACGCCTGCTGTGTTTTCTTATGCTGTACATGATACTGAATGCTGATTAGTAATGATGTCATGTCCAAAATTTACCATAGTGAGGTTACTGTGATCATATGCAGATGTTTTATACAAAGCACAAGTTAATTATGCTGAAATTTGAGTTTAAACTTTTTTTCCACACTTTTTAGGGTGCTGCTGGATCTCTTGGGAATATGGGAGAGCAAGGCTTGATTGGACCTCGAGTAGGTTC